AAGGGTACCAGCCGTCCGAAGCTCCAGGCAGTTCTTGTGTTTCGCGGACTCTGAGGAAAAATCGGGCGGAGATTCCTCCGCTGATTGCCAGGCCTCCGGGGCAGAGGAAACCGAGACTCCCAGACATGGACAGCCGCCTGCAAGAGATTCGGGAGCGGCAGAAGCTACGGCGACAGCTCCTCGCCCAGCAGGTCCGCGGCCCAGGGAGGGATCGCAGTGCGCGTGCGCGGCCGCCCGGGCCCCTCTTGGCCCCTCGCTCCTGCTCCGCCCCCTGCACGTGCCTGTCCTTCCGGTTCTCAGCTCTCATGGTGCCCCGGGGAGTTCGCGTTCCGGGTCGCGGTGGTGGCGGCGATGCGAACCCCGACCCACGGCTGGTTTTCAGCAACCGAATGAAATTGCCCGCGCCCAGTGATGGGCGTGCAGAGCTTTGGTCTTTCAGTGCGTTACTGCAGCCCGCGCGCGAAAGCGACTTGTCAGCCCTCCGTTTCTCTTCACCGTTCGCATGCCCTTCTGCCTTGACTGCCCTCGCAGTCAGCACCTAACTGTTGAGGTTGTGGCTTCCTTGTGAAATGGGTTTACAGGATTGTGCGGGGGGGTCCTGTCCAAAGACTGCGTTGCAAGTGGCCTGAGTGTAAATTTCAGATTCTGCCCCTTGCGCGTTGCAATCCACTGTGCAACGTGCGGCATCCTCGTCGTCACCGCAGCTGGTACGTGAATTCATACTCGGTATCACAACAAAACCCTGGTATAAGTAGTGATCTCCCCTCGAAGGAGGCTCTAGGTTAAGTAATTTTGGCCCGGGGTCAATCGCTGCTGGGCCGGAAAGTTGAACCCCGTTTGTTTCTCCAAAGCTTGTCTTCACTACCGCTTGCCGACGGGCAGAGGAGGAATCAGGATGCCAGGGGCACGCGTCTCTGCTTAAGTCGGGCTGCGTTTTACATTCTGCCGTTCAGAGCAAAGAGATGGGGATGCTCATAAGCATTTTAATGTTATTTTTTTCAGTAGTAAATCTTGGTTTTAGTAAATGGGAATCTGGAACCTCTCCTTTTATAATCTGATGAAAAGATTTATGATAATAGTATTAAAAATGTGGGAATTTGGGATCATTATGTTCCCATCCCAGTGACATTATGATCTTGGGCAAGTCGGGTATCTTTTTCTAAACCTCCTTTTCCGCAACTTCTTTTATTATGTTATCTTCAAGTAGCTTCTTGAGTTGTACGGATACACATCTTGTAGATGAAAAAAAAAATTTCAGTTTCGTGCTCAAACCCACAAAGCTGGTGAGTTTGCGAGCTGCAGTTTTAGGCCCTTTGATACTTTTTCCAGTGCATCTAAGTGCTCCTGGCCTTCTAGTTGGATAGGAACCATCCCACCTAAGTTAAGATGTCCAGTATAATCAGTGACAGACTTCCACTTTACCTCTAATTTCACCCTTTCTCACTACTTTTCTCTGTGTGAACAAGACAGGCAGAACATGTTTTCACTTAATCCAGTCACCTCACAATTTTTTAAAAAGTTTTGGAACTTGAGAAGACAATTACATGTGAAAGCAGAATTTTGATTTAAAACATTTCTCTGCAATACATTGTTTTCTAACTTAGGTCCTAGTAGGAAATCTTATTGGTTCCTTCACCCATTTATTGAGCATGTACATGAGTCATGCTGCTGAACATACAGATACCGATGGGACAGACAGTTCTTCCTCCCAGGGGAGAACAACTCTGGGGGAGAAGTAAACTAATAAAATAATTGAAGTAGGCATACAAATAAAATAATTGGAAGTTGTGGTAGAGACTGTGAAACAATATAAATAGGGAGCAAACAAAAGTAAAACAAAATGATTGAAAGTTGTATTAAGTGCTATGATCCGAATGAGGAAAGAGGTACAAAGGAGAACCGTGGGAGGGAGCTACTTGTTCCATATACAGTGTTCATGGAGAATCCTCTGAGGAAATCACTATGCACCTGGGTATGGGAAGAGGCATCAGCTGTGAGAAGGTTAGGAAGCATTCCAACTTTCTCCTGGGGAAAGTGGCTGTCTCCCCTGAGCAGGGAGAATAGGGGTCTGGAAGATCTTAGGGAACAGTTAAAATTTCAGGAACGAATGTACTGGAAGAGTTTTATCATTGGAGAGACGTTGGGGGAGTCATGCAGTGGGCAGACTAAACTGGTGACTCTGGGCTCTGATGTGTTAGTGTGTCTTCCTCTCTTTAGTGTGCCTTCCCCTCTTTTCTGGCTAACGGGACTATTTAATACAGTTTTTCTCATGCCCTTGTGCATAAAAACAGATGTCTTCTCATGGCCTGCCAGTTGCATTCTACACTCCTTGGTCTATCTTACATATTCTGTGAGCTGGTCCCATTCTGCTTATCCAGGCTTTTCAGTTTGTTTACATGTGTTATATTTTGTAAAATTTCCCCAGCTGCCAAACAGAATTTGCATTGCCATCTTTAAGGAATTAGTACAGTTCATTATTGTATCTATAAACATTGTATAAAGACTTGGCTTGAATAAAAGTTAATAAATTTTTATTAGAGCATGGGATAAATAAAGTATAATAATATGTTAGTTGATGATGTGAAATGTTTAACATAGTGCCAGCCACACTATAAACACACTGTTAGCTTTTTTGGTTATTGTAGCTATTGCTAAATCATGCTTTATTTACTTTAAAAGAAGAGAGTGGCGAAGTTAAGTGTCTTAATTTCAAATATAACTAAAAGCATAATCTCATTTCTGGTTTTTGTTTTTCTCAGTTGGGAGCCGAAAGTGCGGACAGCATTGGTGCTGTGTTAAATAGCAAAGAGGAGCAGAGAGAGATTGCTGAAACAAGGGAGACCTGCAGGTCTGTCAAGTAGCTGGTTGTTGTTTTACTGACATGTTAATATTGTGAAAGGAGCATTGTTTTAATAAATAATCTCAGGTATGAGTGTGTTGTTATGAAAGCACAAAACAAAGATTTCAGAACCAGTGGTTTTTACTGTTCGTGAATTTTGAATATTCTTTTCTGACTATAGTAACTTCTCATGTAGTAGTTAGGAAATGGAATGTTACACTAAGGATTAGCTTATATACCATAAATAAATGATTATATTTTTTAAGTTCTTATAAAAGAAAACAGACTTTACCCTAAAAGTGGTAATCATTTGATAGTTCACAAAGCATTTCAGAATTTTTCAGTATCCTGGTTATCAGTTTAAGCATTAGTTTTGCTTTAGACAGATTAGAATGATACCCAATATAGAAGTTCCTTCTTACCATATATGCCTGTAACAGCTTATTTTCTCATTGGGTTGCTTTCCCATAAAAACAAAGTACAGAATTAACAATCAAGTTGTGTGACTTTTTAGGTAACTTATAAACTGGGTGAATAGGAACTATTTAATCAGGAAAAATTTGCTTTATTCTGTTTCTATTATCTGTTATTTAATACTATTAATAGATGCATTTATACATCTTGTATATACTTGTGTGTGATATGTCAGTTTTAATTTTCAGAGCTTCCTACGACACCTCTGCTCCAAATGCAAAACGTAAGTATCAGGATGAAGGAGAGACAGATGAAGACAAAATGGAAGAATATAAGGCAAGTAGAGAATGGGGCAGTTTTATTGTCAAGGAAAAACAAATCCTTACAATAATAGGTCCTTATTGAGGAAAACAAACTTGACAGAAAGCTGAATATTAAAGTGTCTCAAATAATTGTCATAAGTATAATATATGCATAAGCATATGTATAATCAGTAAATTAAGACTTTGTATCACTTTCCTCATTTTAACACAAAAGTGTGTAGATTAAACTAGGTGATGTATGGAAAGCATTTAGCATAATGCCTGGTAAACACTGGGCAATAATCTTCACTAACAGTAAGGAGGTGAGTGTATCAGAAACTTTGGGTAACTGGGTCAGATTTAGATTTCTGCTATTCAGTGTTAACAATATAAGGCAGTATGGTGTTCAATGGTATAAATACCTGATCTTATGAATCCTGTTTTGTCTGTTGCATTTTGATACATGTTAATATGTAGCTTAAACATTTGTGATTGTTTTAGGTCAAACCATATACAATTCCCAATATTCAGACAGTTTTGACCTGTAAAAATAGTTTCATATGGTCCAATCTAATAGAAATAAAATTGGCCCATTGGTGGTTATATCTTTTGATTCAAGCTAAATTATAATAAACTAGTTAGAACTTATGATGAGAAAGCAAAGATTTTAATGTTTGACTTCAATGATAATTTGAAAAATTTATTATCCACTAGGGAAATAAAACATGTATGTTGTCTTAATCAAGATGTTGTAATACATAGACTATTATTTCTCTGCATAAAATGTCTACTCAACCTCTTGTCTTCCAGGATGAGCCGGAGATGCAGCAGGAGGACGAGAATCTGCCGTACGAGGAGGAGATTTACAAAGACTCCAGTACTTTTCTGAAGGTAAATCAGTGATTTCCAGTCTTAAAACCCTTCACATTTCAGCTCTGCGCCTGCAAAGATATTACATACATACTTGTTTTCAAGATTATTTTTTTAAGTTATTAAGGAATCATTATTATAAAATAAAGATCATTTAAAGTTATTCATGAAATAGTCTTCTGACACTTGGCTCATTAGGAGGAGATAATGTTGTGTTAATGTCTGTAGCTGCTGGAGAGAAATAGTATTTTAGTTGTGTTTTAATCTAGCAATAGACTTACATTTTATATGGCTTCGTAGTAAAAAACAAGGCACAGAATGAGTGTTTCAGAGTGCATGCTAGTAATTCCATTTTGATTTTCTTTAGGGAACACAGAGTTTGAATCCCCATAATGATTACTGCCAGCATTTTGTAGACACCGGACATAGACCTCAGAATTTCATCAGGGATGTAGGTATGTCAGATTTGTTGGGACTGTGCTGTTGCTAACTCTTGCTTACATGTATGTAATTTATTTAACTTGTGGATTTATTTTTAGTTAGGGACTAATTCTAAGTAGATTTGTCCACAAGCATAACCCATTAATGTAAGATCATCAGCAGTATTTCATCTCTACTATTTTTTGTCTCTCCCTTTACCTAATTATAAAAAATGAAAGAATACTCATTTTCACTAGATTCTTTAGGAAATTGTTTTTATCCAAAAGAAAGAGGGAAAAGCATGAAAGAAAGGCAGTTGTTTTTCCCTTTCCCAAGAAGAAAATGGTTAAACTTGATGTTATGAGCAGATTATTTAACTTAATGAATATGAGAAATTAAATGGTTTGGTGACTCGGACTTGGCTTTGGAGTGTCTGGGTTTTTATCTGTCTATGGAGTGAGGATCATTAGATATGAAATGTTTAAAAATACTCAAAATTAGCTTTCTTAAAAGGGCATGTGAGTAAAGTGAGGGGTGTGTTTGGTTTTGTTTTCCTGGGAGGGCTCCTAATCTTAGAATTCTCTAATATTAACTTCGAGTGTATTAAAGTTTAGAATTGCTGTTTTTCTCAGGTTTGGCTGACAGATTTGAAGAATACCCCAAGCTGCGGGAGCTCATCAGGCTGAAGGACGAGCTAATAGCGAAATCTAACACTCCTCCTATGTAAGTGGTGTTTTAAATTACTTTTTGTCCCCAACTCAGGCTTAAAATGTCAGTCTTTTTGTCTGGTAACCTTTCTGTTCAAAAATTATTCAGCACCTATATAAGGTTAGCACAATTATTATTTCTATTTTTTCTTTATAGTAAAATAGATCAGGTTGAGACTCCAGTGCTGAGTACACAGTACGGTCTTATTTTTTTTTTCAGTTTTTCAGATCATTTGCTTAAAGTATCTTTAAATACATTTTTCTAGGAAAATCATTCACATCTGTTGTGTTCTTGAGTTTACTTAAAATGTTTTTAATAGCTTTTCTTCTCAAAAAGTTATTTATTGAAGAAAGTTTAGGAAACTTAGACGAAGGAAAAGAAGAAAAATGAGAAGGAATTCAAACTACATCCGAGGCCACTGTGAACATGTTTGGGATATGGTCATTCTTTAAACAGAGTCATGCCTGCGTTAACGTGGAGACGGTCTTTGAAATTGGAGAATCTTTTATTTCACCTTTAGTTTACTTTGAACATGTTGTATATTTAACAATTTGCTGACATGCAGCCTATTCTTTAGAAAGCCACAAGGAAGTCTGAGTATGTGGGGAAATGTTAGCAGACTCTAGTGTTTGACCTATTCAAGGACTCTTACATTTAGAGTATTTTATATTTAAATATTTCATATTCAAAATACTTCCATATTGAAATAGCCTTTCAATAAAGGCTAGTGATAAAATATACTAGGTGGCCGGAAAAGACTATTAATATATAGGAAAAGAAAACTTAGAAACTATTTTAGAGGCAGGAATTTAAAATTTACAGAGAAATCGTATTTCTAAACTAAACAATGAAAGAAAAGTAATGTGATCTTTCCTTAGACTAGTCAGGTGGTAATGGAAAGGGTTGAGTCTCACAGCTGAACATGGATTTTCAGGGTGAAAACAAGGGAAGCCTGTCGTCTGGACACACGTGGGGCACTGTGATTCTACCTGGCGGTATGATTGTGTGCATGTCCTGCCAGAGAGCGGTGTGGACGCTCCATCTGCGCTGGGGAAAGCCCTCGAGGAGATGAGCAGTGATGAGTTCGGGCTGCTTTGTGAATAGCACTTAGTAACACTGGAGACATTTCTCACTGCCATCTGTAAGGTATTTGAAAGACTCCTCCTCACTTTCTGTGCTTTCCTTACATAGGTACTTACAGGCAGATATCGAAGCCTTTGACATCAGAGAGCTCACCCCCAAATTCGATGTGATTCTTCTGGAGCCCCCTCTGGAAGAGTATTACAGAGAGACTGGCATCACTGCTAACGAGAAGTGCTGGACCTGGGACGATGTACGGTGACACTGTCCACCTCGTGACAAGTTGTTCATTTTTCAGATGAATAAAGACTATAAATGTCATCCCTCTACTTTTGTAGTGATCATAAATATAGACTTATAGTATACTGTGGCTGAAGGCGAGGGAAAGTGGTGCAGGCAGTGAGTGGGTGGTCTACAGGAGGAGCAGCGGTCCCCTCCAGCTTCAGAGTCCTGTATACAGCTTCACAAGTCTGGGACTGTCAGGACGATTGCAGCTCATTCTGCATTTGGTTAGCTTTGGGAAACATCAGAGAATAAATATATACGTAAAATAGTTTCTCCTCTTTAAGGAGCTGACTGTAATGGATAAAAGGGATGTGTAATTTCAGTATAAAATAATTGCGATAGTTATATTTTCCTAAATAAAATTAAACAAGCTGATAACAGTTACAAAAAGTAATGTGTTCGTTGTCAGTAACAGAAATAACATACGGTGGTTCCTTGGTTTTTGAACATCTCCATGGACGAGCATTTCGGGTTATGAACGCCGTAAACCCGGAGGGAAATGCTTCAGTTTTCCGGCACGCCTCAGAAGTCAAACAGGCCCCACGGCTTCCACTGAGGGCAAGATCCTTAGGCCCAGCTGTCGGCTGTTGATCCCTCGGGTTTCGAACGTTTCAGGGCTCGAACGGGCTTCTGGAACGAGTTACATTCGAAAACCAAGTACCACTGTATTTATTAAGCGTCACTGCACTAGGCAGTGTGCTCTGTGCTGGAGATTCAGAGATAAGTAAGACCTACTGCTTAGATGTCATTATATTTCATTTTAATTTTTCCTCCATCCTTGAGGTAACTTAACCTGTTTTCATCTCACTTTCTTTTTCTGTAAATGTTAGAGTGTTCTCAAGCTACATCTATAAAATTCTGTAAATACGGCTTCCTGCAACCTTTCCGTGTACGAGTAAATGTGTGCATTTGTGTGTGCATGTGTTGTCTTCGTATTTAACAAGGAGACAGTGGAACAGGAAGTTATAAACTTTTTCCCCATTATGTTTTCCAATTAAAATTAGTGCATTTAAAGAATAAATCCACTGAAAATCCTGACACTGCAGTGGTGGTTCTCAGGATGAGTGGGAAACAAAACTGCTGTGCTCTGTTTTGGTTTCTCACAGATTATGAAGCTGGAGATAGATGAGATTGCAGCACCCCGGTCGTTCATCTTCCTCTGGTGTGGTTCCGGGGAGGGCCTGGATCTTGGAAGAGTGGTGAGATGGCGTTTTGTAAAGTGGATTCTTAAATTCATGGGAAAAAACATAATACAGTACATTGCTTAAGGAGTTTGAAGATTGACGTTTTGCCTTCTGTTTCTTGAGTGGTACTAAAACATTACGAAGAAAAATATGCAGAAAAGAATGTATGAAAGGCAGTGCCCTCCCTTAGTTAACAAGCAGCAGGGGTGACTCAAAATGTGGTTTATCACAACTGCAGGAAGAGAACAGTTTAGAGATTCAAAACTAACTCACATCTCAGACACAGGCTGCCTAGTGTCATCATTGCTCCTGAGTAGCTAGAAAGTATTTTTCTGAATTCCATTAACTCCTGAATTCCAAATGGAATTCAGGTCAAATTGGCAAAATAGTGCAGCGTCTGGAACTTAGTTTGAATGAAGCAACAAGAGTGACAAGGAAGTTATGATACTTCAACTTATTTTAAGTACCTTGTAGTTAACTGCATTTCAGAACTTTTCTTTTGTTTGATTGGAGTATCCTGTAGTGGCTGTATAATCAAAGACTAGTATTTTTTTCCATATCTGCACTAAAACAAAATTACTGTGATGCCTTGGAAGTTAGTGTCTCAAGCCTCTAGGAAATTTTTTAATGCTGGTGGTTATTTTAAATATTTCTTTTAGGTAAGGATTTTTTTTTTCTCTCTCATTTCTAGTGTTTACGCAAGTGGGGTTACAGAAGATGTGAAGATATTTGTTGGATTAAAACCAATAAAAACAATCCTGGGAAGACTAAGACTTTAGATCCAAAGGCTGTCTTCCAGAGAACAAAGGTATTGCCTCTATTATCTACTTATATTTATTTTTAATGTGTTCTCTCAATACGGTTTTTTAATTTTCATTATTTTCCCAATGACTATGCTGTTAAATTAATTTTGGTGGAAAGGTCTTTTTCTTAGACTTCTACAGTGACATTGAGCATTATAATAATACTCCCAAGTTATTTTTTTTATTGCAGTGTAACTGACTTACTATATCGTATTAGTTTATTTATAACAATATTTATATACGTTACACATGATCACCATGACAAGTCTAGTTACTTCTGTCACTGTGCAGATTATTAGCGTATTAGTGACTAAATTTTCCATGTTGTTTGTTACTTCCCAGTGGCTGATGTATTTTATAGTTAGAAGTTTGTATTCCTCAGTCCCTTTCACCTAGCTTGCCAATCCCCCACCCCGTCCCTCTGGCCACCACCACTTTATTCTCTGTGTCTTGAGTCTATTTCTGTTTTGTTTTGATTATTTTGTTTTTTAGATTCCACATATAAGTGATACCGTGTGGTATTTATCTTTCTCTGTCTGACTAATTTCACTTAGCTTAATACATTCCAGGTCCATCCATGTTGTTGCAAATGGCCAGGTTTTATTCTTTTTTTTCTGGCTGAGTAATATTCCACTGTATATGTACCATATATCAGTCTTTAATAGTTTGTCCTCCAGTATTTCACTCTTTAGGGAGTCATTGGTAGGAGGGTTTTTCTTCTTAAGTCTTTCTTGGCCTGGAAAATTCTTTTGAAGGGAACCTGAGCCACCCATGCCACTGTTGGTGCATGGTATCAAGTGAGAGATTGTCTATTTAATCCATAGTCCTGCCATCCAGATTAAGTAGAGAAGGTCTGAAAATGAACAAAAAAGAGAATTGTTTTGATTAAGTATCTGGAAGTCTATCCATGCTTAAAGTCCCCTCTCCATATTAAAAGGCCTATACCTTGTGTGTAGTTTCAATCTTGGCTCATAGTAGGCCCAGTATAACATCGTTTTAAGGTTCCAAGGTCGAGTTCCATGTTTCCATACCTGTTGGAAACAGGTTATCATCAAGGTTTGCAGAGGAAGAAAGACTATGGTTGCTGACTCAGTTCTAAAATGTGGTGGCCCCAAGCCCAATACTCTTGTCTAGCTTCCCTGCAGTCTCCCCACATCCACAAACCCAGGCTTTCCTGCTGTGTTGCCCATAGACCTGCATCCCAGAGATTCAGAGGAAGGAGGCTTGTTTTGGAATTGGGGACCTTGGAATGTGAAAGGCTGTGTGAGATGTGACTGGAGGAGATGGTTGGTCTTTCCTTGCTGTTATTAGGAACATTGCCTCATGGGGATCAAAGGGACTGTGAAGCGGAGCACAGACGGGGACTTCATTCACGCCAATGTTGACATTGACCTGATCATCACAGAGGAACCTGAAATTGGCAATATAGAAAAGCCCGTGGAAATTTTCCACATCATTGAACATTTCTGTCTTGGCAGAAGACGCCTTCATCTGTTTGGAAGAGATAGTACCATTCGACCAGGTAGGACATCAGAAAAATAAGAGAACTTTCTGATTCCTTGGGATACAGGTGTCAAGAAATACCACACAGTGCTGTGTAAAAGTAAGGCCCTTAAGAGTTTGATCTCGCCTGGTTATACTGCAAGTGTGCCAGGCCCCTCCCTGTGTCCTTCCTGTCAGCCGAGTCTAAGCCAGCCAACTTCCCCTCACTCCCCTCCCCCGGCCATTCTTTCCCCTCAATCTGTTTCTGTTTCTCTGCATCATTTACATCGTCCGAACTGTAGATTCGCTTGGCCACACATTTGCAGTCAGGCTCAAGCACGCAGACTCGCCTTCCTTCTACCCACATTCAGATCGTCCAGGAGCTGTTGTGTTGAATGAAGAGATGCGTAAATGAGTGAATGATCCTGCAGAAAATACCGTTCATCATGAAATGCAGGTCTTGGCTTTTTTAGAACTAAAACACCTGGCTTATTTCCTTACGTGTACAGTGGTGGTATCTTTTCAAAACTTTACTAATTCAGTGCAATGTGGGTTCACTACTGAAAAGATGAGAAAAATGTGGCCCTTATAAACTAGGGCTTTTTAGAGGGCACAGCTTTTATTTATAGTATATTTCGTTTCCTTTATTTCTCCAAGTGTGACAGTAACTGTTTAAGAACACTGTCACCTCAGTCCACGGCACAGAAAGTCAGTCTGGGGGGGCCTTCCCAGGTTAGAAGTACTGTTTGAAGATGGAAGGAGCCAGAATCTTGTGTGTTTAAAACAGTCTCCACTTTATAAATAGTAAGCAAAGTTGAAGAAGTTACAGGAGAATAGTTGGCCTTAGAGTTTCCTGATCTGTTTGGGCCTAACTTAGCGTCTTACCATTCACGTGACCTGTTCTGGGTTCCTCCTTTCTCTTGCTTCGGGCCTAATGAAGAGGGCTGTAAGCTTTGGGGTGTGGCCATGCCTCCGTATTGATCGTCCAGGCTATGGCTCTAGTGCTTGGGGAAACAGGAACAGATTTTCTCTTCCATCATTGGCCACACAGTAGCTCCCGAATCTGGGAACACTCTCCAGTGGCAACTGCTGTTTCACGGAAGTAAGAACTTGAGAGTTTTTGAAGAGTAAAGGCAAAGACCATATAGATGGTAATCTTTTAATCGAAAAATCAGTGAACAGCATGAAAGGAAATTTTAGGAAAAAAAGCTTCATTCTCACCACCTCCAAGGATTATTTCCATTTTTACATACTTTCCAATCCTGTGTATACAGAGTTTTACATAGTCGTAGTCATCATTTTGTGCTTTTCTCAGTATTAAGTCTGTTGTCAAGTCTGTTTCTGCATTTTAAATAACTGTCATTTTAGTGGCTTTATAGCATTAGGCAGAGAGAACAGATCATCATCAGGTCACAGGTATTGGCATAAGCAGCACGGAGGTCTTTGCTTAGTGCCAGTTTTTAGTCATGACACTCCGTGGGTTCTCCTCCCTGGAGTTGTGGCCTCTTACCCACGTCACTACCTACATTCTCTCTCCTGCGATGTCTCTCCACCTCTGTCCACCAGCTGAACAAATCTCAGAGGCACAAGTTTTACTTTTTGCTTGAAAACTACCATCTGATTCTTTACTGTTGCCTGTTCTTGCAAAAAGTTATTTTAGTGTTAGCTCAGTAAGTCAGAACTAGGAAGGAAAATCTGCTGGGGGAGTTACGTGCAGAAAGGGCTTAACCACATAAACGACAGTAGGAGCACCTGAGAGACTGCTCAGGGGGCCTCACTTGATTGGGGCTAAATCCTCACTTGTTCCTCAGGAGGTAGTCTGGGCAGGTCTGGCGTATTTTAAGGGGTGGAAAGTGCTGGGTCAGCACATGGGGGGGGCTGTTCTGCCTCCTCAGGCCCCTTTAGAACATGGAACAAAACGCCCACAGTGACGAGTTTGCAGGTGGGAGGGAGGCAGAGCCCCTCGCACTTCACTCTGCAAAGACTTGCATGTGTGGCCACGGGAGAGGAGATGTGGCCTGGAAGAGAGAGTATTAGCTCTTGTTAAACTTCCACGCTTTCTCCTTACCCGACTCATGTGTGGTCTCTAACAACACTGACCTTCCCTTGACCAGCTTGGAGGGAGCCAGTGACACTGGGCTCAGCTGCCCTGAGACCACCTTAGCTGGGGGCTCTGATCTGAGGGCCCCTCCCTGCTCACCAAGGTGTCTGCTAATGGCATAGAGGGAGCGCAGTGTTTTACCTGGTATTTTTTTCTTTAAATAGTACAAATCTCACTGTATCTGTGCACTGAGATACTAATGGTGTGTTTTTTTTAAAGGAACAAAAATGGCTACTACATTTTGGAATGTGTGTTATTTTATTATGTATCTAATCTGAGAAATAACCTTGAGGGTGATGGGGCAGATGCAGAACCTAATTCTTAGGGATCACCTGCCTTGCCCTTGCGGGATCCCGTGTCCCCTGTAGCACTCAGAGGTAGGTTCCCAGTCCCCAGAAACCATCAGCTGTAGGAGTCACCACACCTGGGAACCCAAAAGCATGGCAGCCATTGGGCACGTGCAGTTCACTGTAAGTCTTGCATTCCAGGGCTTTCACCGGTGAGGGCTGCCTGTGGTGGAAGCAGAGCTGTGCGCAGTGTGGCCACAGCCTCTGGCCCCAGGACTGCCGTGGGGACTGGGCAGTGAGGGACCCGCTGGTGGAAGCAGAGCTGTGCGCAGTGTGGCCACAGGCCTCTGGCCCCAGGACTGTGCCGTGGGGACTGGGCAGTGAGGGACCCGCTGGTGGAAGCAGAGCTGTGCGCAGTGTGGCCACAGGCCTCTGGCCCCAGGACTGCGGTGGGGACTCGGAGAGAGAGGTTGCCTTCATTTCACTGGAGGTGCTCCTTGAGCTGCGTGTTGAGGGGACTGTCAGCCAGCGGACGGGAGAGAAAAGGGGCTGCGGTGGAGCTGAGCACGGGCAGGCGCTGTGGGGTCGCTGCTTCCTCAGGGCGCTGTCCTGGACCCAGACTGGAAAGCTGGGTCAGCCTCCTTGGAACAGGCCTTGAGGCCACTGGGATCGTGGGAAAGCCCAGGAGGCGCCCCGAGAGGCGACAGCCCGAGCTTGCTGCAGGCTCCGGCTCTCAGGGGCGGGCTGGGGAGCACTCCGTGGACGTGGACGTCTGTCGCGTGTGCGGGGTGACTGCAGAGGAGGGCAGGCGGCGCCGAGGGCGGACTGAAGGTGGGTGGCGTGCGAGGGCGGGCCCCAGGCGGTCAGAGGGGCGGGTCCGCGTCCACGCGAGGAGGTGCGGTGGCCCGGCGTGGGGCGGGGCGTCATTC